ACGTTTTGATGATTTCAAAAAACTTAAGGTTAAAAAAGAATTTGAAGATGTCAATCCTGTAGTTGGAAACTTTGAGGGTACTCTCAGGAGTTGCGAATCTTGCCTCTGAATATAACTGCTCAAATCCTTGTAGTCTTAGAGATTTGATGTTTTCTAAGATTTTTTCAAAGAACTTGGATTAAAAAAATTCTCATCCATTAAAAAAATTTTCATTAAAAAAGTTCTCATCTCCATAGTGAGGCTCTGTCATGGTACTTCCAGGAATTGCGGGTTTTGCCTCAAAATATGACTACTAAAATCCTTGTAGTTTTCGAGATATGATATTTTTTTGTTTTCAGAAAACTTTATTTTAATTTTATCTTGTAGTTGGGGGCTGTCAGAGTACGCTCAAACTCTTAGGGGTTGCGAATCTTGCCTCCAAAAGTGACTGCACAAGTCATTGTAGTTTTCCAGATATGACGTTTTGGTTTTGGTATTTTTTTCAAATTGCGAAGTTCCTGACCCTCTAAAGTTGGGGGCTGTCAGAGTACTCTCAGGGATTGCGAATCATGCCTTCGATTGTGCCTGCTCAAATTTTTTGGTTGTTTTCGAGATAAGACGTTTTTTGTTTCTGATTTTTCAAAAAGTTTTTTTAGAAAACTTAATTTTGAAGTTTCTCAAACTTTGAAATTCCCAACGCTGTAGTTGGGTACTGTAAGAGCTCTCTCAGGATTTGCATTTCTTGGGTCCAAATACGAGAGTCCAATTGGTTTTATATGTTTCTTATTTAATTTTAAAATTTTTCAAAGAAGTTAGATATAAAAAAGGTTTTTAAAAATTTGAATTAAAAACCTTGAATACATTTTTTTTAACAAAATTTGAAATACTAACCCTGTAACTCAGTGCTGTCAGAGTACACTCAGATGATGCAGATTTTTTTCAAAATTTACGGTTTATTGTGAGTTGTTAAAAGTTCCAAGCACCGGAGGTGCTTTACACGCTAGTGTCATATGAACAAGTAAAGGGATTGTAGTAACACAGAAGAGTAGTCTTGCAGTGGTTTTGTGGGGGGTTGAAAGCTGTTCATAAAGTTGTCATAGTTTCAAACTATTTTAGCGATAGATGATAGTATAACTTTGAAATTTGCAGAAAAATGCCAACATCTCGGTCGCCATTTGATAACTTCAGTCTTTTAGGGTGCGTGATCGATCTTGATCAAGAAAACGGCGCTCATTCTTCCACTTAATTCAAAACTGACTGGTTCTTAGATAGTGAATTGAGAATTGTGTTCTACAACTAAAAGGAGTTAGTTGGTATATAATATTGGTGCATACAGCTAAAAAATGATATGTAGTTGATATGTAGTCAGAACCATAAACATATTTTTACTTGCAGTTATCAAGTTCTAGTTGCAGATAGAGAATTGGGTTTTCTTTCCGGTTATCAAAAGGGAACACGCGTTCCTGATACTGCTTTATTGATGGCTAGTGTTAATTTACTTCATGGTGAACGTTGCGCAGATTCGAGGGCGTGAGACTTGCAAAAAAAACGGAGTTTGAAATCCGGAACTTCGAAATAGTTATATTTTTATTGGTGACACTTTTGGTGCATAGCATGGTTATTTAAAAACAACTGTAGTTGTTTTATTAGTAGCTAATGATAGTACTTTTTCAAGTTATCGTGGCGCAGATGCGACGACGTGAGATTCCTAATTTCCAGGTCGGAGGTACAATTCAGGAATATAGTAAACGTTTGTTTAAATTTTTCAAGGCATATTTTTTGCCTTTCTTTTTTCCTTATTTCCTTTTGTTTTTGCGTTTTTAGAGCATCTTTTTGCTGATTTCTTTCTTGTATTTGCGGAGTTTAACTTCGCCTCTGTGTTGAAAGTTTTTGACCGAAAATTTTGGCATATTTGTTTCCGCAAATTTAGTGTAATTTGGTCCTTGTTGGTTGATCAAAAAGATGCCGTTAAATAGTACTAAAGAGGCGTCCGTTCCTCTCCAAAAATCCAATTTGGTAGCTCCTCCAATTTATTAACAAAATAGCTGCCCAATCCAAGTTGCATTTTTTGTGTTTCTTTTCTACAATTGGCAATGATTGAATCAATTAAACTTTTCATGTCGAGTCAAAAAGCTTTTCTTAACTTAGTATGACTTTTCTTTGATGACACTGGTCGATTGACTTTTTTTTGCACAAGTGAGCCTGCATTAATTATTGAGATGGAGATCAGAGTATGAAACATTTTCTTTCATATTTGTTGTTTTGTTTTTCGCTGGTAAGAGCTGCTTCGCCTGTTTTCAAAGTGCAGCTTCGCCTGTAATTTACTTATAAATATTTTAGTGATAAAATATTTATTTTTCGTAATAAACATTTTCAATGTTTCAAAACTTCTTTTGAGCTTTTCATAGCCTATGTTTTTCTTCTAGTTACTGAACGAGTTCTGTAAAGATGTTCTGTTAATTTTCTGTTACTTTTGGGATTTGTCCTCGATCATTTTATTGTTTTTTCGAATCCACTTTCGATATTCAAGTGGAGCATTAACTTCTCGGAGGTTACTCGAGTAGCATTGTAAATTCCAATGCTTCAAGGTACATCTTTCAGTATTATTTTACGACGTCGTTCTCGACCAACCGGCATCGTCATTTTTAAAGGTATCTTTGGTGCCAATTTAAAGCAAATACATTTTTGATAGAGGTGATTTGCCATTCTTTGCCTGTTTTGCTATTAAGAGTCAATGAACGAAAGAAAGATACTTTTTTTGTCTGGAAAAGTCTTAAAATTTGATCACGCCCAAGTTTAATTTTTTTCCGGTTCGACATGATACTCAATTCAAATTCATTTGCTATAAGGAAGGCAATTTACACTCACTGTAATGTTCAAAATTCCAATCGGAATAAAAAATGATCAATTGATTCAATTTTGTTTTCAAGTTGAGTTAGTTTTACGAAAAGTTAATAACCATAAAAGATTCTTGAAGAGTTTTGAAGTGATGTATTTTTTTTCCGGTTCCCTGAGTTCCTTGACACTTTTCCTATTTTAAATTGGCTCGTTGTGAAGGCACTTATATAGTTCGTGATGATTTTTGTGTTTTTTGAGGAATTCGACATAAAATTTGTTCACGCTCAAATTTGATTTTTTCTAGGTTTGATTATGATTTCGTTTTAAAGTGCTTTTCATTTCCTTGTAAAACGATAGCAAACTCCACTATTGATCAAAAAAAATTTTAAGGTTCGAAATAAGTGAATGACTTCTAGTTTCAAAAATGGACTTCAATGGACTTTTTAGAGTTCCTAGCGGCCTTTAAAAAGTCATCACGACCTTTATAGGAGTCTGAACTACGTTCATCGACTCTTAATCATGCACAACAAGAAAAAAAGATTTTTTTGAACTATTAAATTTTTAAAAGCTATCCCGCGTAATTTCTTCGAAATAATTGTTTAAGATCGGCATATTTTTTAAAAGCTATATTTAGACAAAACTATAACAAGAGGTAATTTTTCATTCCGGGAATAAAAAATTACCTCTTGTTCTAGTTTTATCTAAATATAGCTTTTAAAAAATATGCCGATCTTAAACAATTATTTCGAAGAAATTACGCGGAATAGTTTTTAAAATTTAATAGTTCAAAACAATCTTTTTTTTCTTGTTGTGCATGATTAAGAGTCGATGAACGTAGTTCAGACTCCTATAAAGGTCGTGATGATTTTTTTCAGTAGTTTTTTTCGTGGTTTAACTTTTGATTTTTTTCAGTTCATTTCCCTTCATTAAAAGGAAGGCAAACTCCCTTATCGAACAGCCAAAGTAATAAGATTACGAAAAACGTTATCGACTTCTAGTTTCGCAAGTGGGAATTAATTTTCAGATATTCCAGTAAAATAAAAGTTGTGATTATGGATCCAATTTTCTCACTTGGGTTAGGTTTGTCAGAGTCAGAAAAGAACTGGTCATAAATTCTTCTAGAAATTCAAAGAGCTTTACGGGCATCTTTTTAAAATTGAAATTCGAAAGTTGAGGTTTTTCATAAAACAAGTCAGTATTTTTTTTGTTTACTTGCGTTCATTGACTCTTCTCTAAATGTCAGTTGGCTATGTTTTTATAGACACTTTTTCAACTTCAGACTAAAGTGAGTCTTCAGTGTGGTTTGGTAAAGCCTGGTAGTTGAAAATTCCACACTTCTCACTCGAGAAAGTCCTAGTGCACCTGAATTAATGATATTATTTGTGAAATAAATGGTTTATAAAATTTAACCATTTAGCAATCAGCGGTATCAATTAGCGACATAAAAGCCGCCGTGCAAAGGGTTTTTCTGCATCTAGGATGAACGGAGATTAAAGTAAGATCTCTTGTGATTAAAAGCTTTGAAAAATGCAAATGAACCGTTCTTAGAGTTACTCGTGTGATATTAGCATCAAGGCGCAAAGTACCAGTTACTTAACAGTTCCTTAACAGAAATGATGAGCGGTATCAATTTAGCTTTTCAAAGATGTCTTTCCAAGTTTGTTTTTTCAAGACAATGCTATGAAAATGTCGCTTTTTTACAGCGGATTGATTGATTGAAGAGTTCGCTCCCAAATGAAATTCAAAGAGAAAATGAAAAGGGTTTTCCTCTCTCTGCTGTAACTCTTTAAAATTTGTCGAGGTACCTGATTGGCGTCGGAATTTATTTATTTGAATTTAAAGTTCCTTCTCAGTGAGGATGGTCGGCACAAACTGAAACAGCTCAAACGATGCTTTTTGAAAGCTTGAACGAGCAAAAACCTGAAACATTTATTCTTAATCCGTTAATCTCTTTTGAAGCTGTTAGTAGGTAGAAAAAATAGCATAATCAATTTTGATTTTCAAACTTTTATGATTGAACTAACTTATCAACAGCAGTTTCTCTGAAAAGAAGGCAAACAAAATAGACGAAGTCGTCCATTAGAAATAGTAGCTCAATTTTAATGTAAATTGAGTTAAATTAAAAGTTTAACTTTAGCATTTAAACTTGGTGTTATTATAAATGCATCTTTTGTGCGTGTTAGATGTCTCGTGACAAGAAGTGTAAGGAGGAGTTGACTGAGATGGAGCAGTTCTTCAATGACATCCCAGATGACCCCCAAGGAGCCTCGTTCCACCTCCTCCGCCCCAGTGAAGCCTTCATTTGCATATGCTGCATGCCAGGGTAAGCACTAGCACATCACCAACAGCAAACTACACCGTCAGCATTATTTTGTGAAATCTTCATCTGTCGGGCTTAATTGTGAAATCTTCATCTCTAATGACGGCAAGCGCCAACTTTTTCACCACTTTTTGTCAATAGCTCATTCAATTAGGATATTTGCAGCTCTTAATATCACCAAACACAGCAAACGTACAAAAATAATTGAATTCAACGGACTCACAAAATGCAGCCAAAACATTGAACGACAGATTGTAAACTATTTAATCGGTAATATGCACAATATTTTTTCAGTGAAATCGACGAGTTGACAGATCCCTCAATGATCATTCGAGCACCCTCCAACTGAGGTCCAGTTTATCTTACCTTCCATTCATGCCTTTCTGACCTTAACCACCCGCCGCTTTAACTCCAGTCGCGAGAGCTTATGTTGTAATGAAAAACTTATTTTTATCGCCTTGATAACTTCTATGAATGAATATATTGTTTTAACATGCTCTCAATCTTACTCAGTTGTTTTGGTGCAGTGGTTTTAAATTAATTTAAATTTTACCAGTTGTTTTTTTTTGTGAGCAAAGTATTTTGATAACAGTAAAAGCAAAGACGGTCTTGCAAGGATGATCAGCTTCAATGAGATTGTTTGATTTTCTGGCAAATATCTCGGCCTTGTAAACATATATAGTAGGAGAATTCAGCAGCATTCGTTTTCTACGAGGCTCCTTTTTGGTCATTTTTAAGCCATCCGTTATCCAACTAGTTATCCGAAGTTCTAAAATATAACAGAAACAGTACTACACTAAGCACCAACAGCCATAGATTAATATCTTTTAAGAGGAAAAAGCTTTAGCTCAAATTTAGAGAAAAAATTGAAGGTAATAATTTAGAAGTTTTCTAACGCTAAAAACCTCATTCAGAAAGGTTCTACTGAAATATTTGTCTGATATCAATAGCTTATTGGCTGGGATTCTTTTTCGAGCATTTCACTTCTATCATATATTTAAATGTGGGCTTCACTATCTCGCAATGTTAGAGCATTTTCAAAGTTTTTAATTTGCACGTTCATCGAAAGGGTTTTTTCACGTTTAAACTGCAATGCTTTAGAAAATTTTTCGATTTTCCAGCTTGAATTCAGTGTTTGTTTCGCCAAGTTTGAAATTAGCAGCCCAATAGTGGGATGCTGTCAGGATTACCCTCGTGGTTGCAAATTGGGCCTCCAAATATGAATATCCAAATGTTTTAAGCTTACGAGATACGAAGTTTTGTTGTAATTTTTCATCATTATTAAACTTAGATTTGAAAATTCATTACAAAATGAAATTTCTAACCATGTACATGGGTGCTGTAAGGGTACTCTCGGGGGGTTGCAAATCTTGCCTCAAAATCTGACTGCAAAAGTTTTCAAATAAATTAGATACAAAAAACTTAACAAAGGTTGAAATTCTCTACTGTTTAATGTGAGTTGCCGTCAGGGTACTCTCAGGCGTTGCAAATTTTGCCTCTAATCATGTCTGCTCCAATCTTTTTATGTTCTGAGATATAGAATTTTTATGATTTTTCAGAAAAAAAAAGGTTTAAAGAATTTGAATTTGCCAACACTGTAATCAGGTGCTGTGGAGGTACTCTAAGGGGTTGCAACTATTGCCTCCCATGATGACTGCTCAAAAGCTTTCGGTTTCCGAGATATGATTTTTTTTTTCAAATTGTTCAAAATCAATTTAAAATAGCAAAAATGTTTCAAAATGGCAAATTGCCAACCCTACAGCTGGGCGTTATCTTGGTATTCTCGGAGTTTGAAGATCTTGCATCCAAAATTGGTTGCTAAAATTATCTTAGTTACTGAGATATGCCGTTTCTCTACAAACTTCAGATCTAAAATTTTCTCAAAATTGTTTCTATGTTTGAAGTACTCAACACTATGGTGGGTTACTCTTAAGGTACTCTCAGGATGTTTGTCTGAATTCCAATTATGACTGCTCAGCGCTGTTTGCTCTCTTTTTTATTTTTTTGAAACTCTTAAACTTCAAACTAACACTTCATAGTTTGAAGTTGTCGACTCATTGGTGGGGTGATGTCATTTTATTACCAGCGGATGCATATATGGACATTCATCTTAACAATATTGCTCAAATGGTTTCATTGAACTTAAATTAGGAAAAAAGAGACTGATAATTTGATTGTAAATACGCTGTATTATGAATTACATTTTTGCAGTTGATATATTTGCAACTGAAAATGATTCAAATTTCGTTTGATACAAAGATCTGAAAATCAGTAGTTTGGAGATTTGACCTTTTTAGTTTAAAAAAAAACATTTAATTTGAATCTACTTTTGTCGTTCAAAATTTGAAATATTTTCTACGGCTGCTTTCATTTTGCAGTTTTTTCCATTTATTTCACGTATAAGCAACTTTCATGCTCACCAATCTGCTTGAAGCACCGGAGCTGCGTTTTCACGCTTCTATACCTTATATTATGTGAAATATGCAATTTATCTTCAAAAAAAAAACAGAAATGAAAAGTCGTCGATTTTCATTAGGTCAATAATTTCTCCAACTTAATGTTATTCAGAGTGGTGAGACTGTATTTGCAAGTTCAGCGTTTTTAAAAGACTGTATAAAGCAGGAATTTTTTGCTTCAATTTTTTGAGGCACAATCTTCGAGTCGACTTTCCGAGGTGAACTTAAATTACGCTCTTCAATTTACCTATGTTCAAATGGTCCTTGCTTTAAAGACTCGGAACTTAATTAGCCGTTAGGAATAAAAACAGTTATGGTTTATTAAGTTAGTATCATAAAGCCACCACAATTAACTATGAATTGCTATGATGGTTGACTAAAAACTAAACTAGTTCACCAAACATGAGAACAGTGCCTGCTCCACAATTTGATACAAATTCATTGACAAAAATTTTGAAAAGAGTATGGCTAGGAAATCTAAATAAATTACTAGCATATCTTTCTTACATGCAACTACGACTTGGTTTTTTTTTCAATTTTTTTCGGAATTTTTCGGTTCCTGCTAAAGTAGTCAGACGGATTAAGAAAGAAATTCAGATGACAGAGTATGACTAATGAATGGCTTGAGAATATTTGGCAACAAAGTTGAGTAAAACAAGGATATTTTTTGTTCTTTTTAGGAAAACTCTTCAATCTTGTCCAGGCTCAAACTTTTTCGCGGTTTGACTTTGATTTCTTTTCGAATTCAGTTTTTTTTTGAAAAATAAAGGCTAACTCCACAATCAAGCAGCGAAAAAGCAAAAATCACAAAAAGCATGATCGACTTCTAGTTTTCGAAACTAGAAGTCGATCATGCTTTTTGTAATTTTTGCTTTTTCGCTGGAATTTAATTACAAAATTTCTCAACGAAACAAAATTTTTTTACCCATTGATCCAGTTTTCTCAATTTGGGTTCATTTGTATCAAAAATTTCAAAGATGTATTGTTCAAGAAACTCAAGGACCTTAAAAGTCATTTAAAAAAAACTCGAAATTGGAGAATTTTTCAAGAATCAAAACCTTTTTTTTTCTGTTTAATTGCGTTCATTGACTCTTCTAACTGTCTGTTGGCTTTGTTTGAAATTAGTGTCTTTTTTTCGTGACGTGGTGAAAATATCTAAAAAAACATCTGATTTTAAAAGTTTTTTACAATCACAGTAAAATAGGCAAATCGGACAGCGGTTTTTGTCGAAAATTGACTGGAAAAACAAAAAATATGTTTTTGCACTCATTTTTTTGCAAAAATTAATTTGATGTTATGAAGATTTTTATTCCAAAAATGGCGCTAAAAACTTCAAACATTATGAAAACAATTTCATGGCTTATCCTTTTATATTAGGGTGCTTGCTTGCTTAATTTGCTCTCATTTAGACTAAAACTCAAAATTTTTAAACCGGTTTTTCTAGGCACTGGGTCGGTTTTGATATATCATCCTTTTGTTACCATGATTATTTATGGGATATTTTTTCATTAAAAAATGAGGAAACCTGCTAGCTCACCTCATTTTCTCAAAACTAGGCCAAAAAATCAAAGTTTTAAACATTATTTTTTCGACACAGACAAATTTAAACTTCAGTGGAATCTTGATTGAAAAGTCTTTAATATGTATATGACTCGACCCATTCCGATGAATATTTGCTGTTTTTTAATATGCGCGAAAAAAAATAAACCCAAAAACAAATTGACTTTCTGTACATGTTTGAAAAGATCCAATTTAAATAATTGAACATGATGACTTATTTTTCAGTCAAGTTTGTTTTAAAAAAGACAAAAACAATCTTGCACAGAACATTCATGATTTCTATCTGTGTGTAAAGGCTGTGTGACTAGACTACGGTGAAAGCAAAAACTTTCAAGGGCATGCTAATTTTTAACTCGTAGACTTTTGGGTTCGTGTGGACCCGGGATTCTAGCAAAACGTTTCTAGTTGAAAAACATACCAGTTGTTGCCTGAGTCAGTCGAAATTGTTGCCTGAGTCAGCCTCGGTCTCAAAGTATGGAAATACTCAATTTTTGTTGCGACAATCTGGAAAAACTAAATTTCGGTCGCGAACGTCTGATTATCAAACCACAATCTCGACCCGGGATTATAGCAAAAAGCTTTTGGTTAAAAATCATAATTTTTAAGCCAGCAAAGCGTGGTTAAGTTGGGAGAAAAGGCTAAAGGTCTATACTCTAAACCAAAGATGTCGATCTTATCATTGTTTCCGTTTTGAAATTTTCAGCGGTTGAAAATCGTGACTTTTTTTTGGCATATTTGTTTTAATAAAAACAAAAGAAAGTTACTTTTATGGGTTCTACTTGTGTGTAAATATTGTGTCACTAGACTACGGTAAAAACTAAAGTTTTTTAAAATGCATGCAATTTTAACTCCGGAGTTTTTAGTTTGAGCATAGAATAAATTCTGTTACTACTGAGATTTTGTAAAAAGTTTTCTTCTATTATTTTTTAAAAAAATTGTTCCTTTCATAAAATGAAATAGTTTGAGAAACATTTTAAATACATCTCTTATATTAAACTATTTGGTTCATAATTTCAATCTTCGGAGGTTAACCCAGGAGGTGGTTTGTATAGGTGGTTTCCAAGCTTGATTTTGTAAAAAAAATTTTATTCAATCTTGGCTAAAATGTTTGCTGAATTACTTTTCCAATTTCATCTTTTTGGACTACATATCACTAAATTGTGACAAAGGTGTTTGAAATACGAAAACTTGAAATTTTCAGGCTTATGCTAAAAAAAAATCACTAAAAACCAAGATTTTTGGAGCAGTTTTTGCTTTTACCCAGGACATTGAAAATTCTGCAGCATAAACAGACATACGCGCCATCAAAAAATTAGCTACGGATTTTTGTAAAAGGAAATTCCTGGAGATTTTTCGTCATATTCATTTCTTAAGTTTAGAATTATATACATAGATATTAAAACCAAAAAAACTTTTATGTAAAAAATTCCTTTTATAATTGGTTTTGAAAAACTGCAGAAAAATTCTATCGGTAGAATGTGCCCATGGATATTTTGTTCGGAATCGTATGACTAGCAGTGTTGGTGGATTGAGGCCATCATGTGCTACTGCAAAGTTGCAAGGTTTTTCTGAACTCTTGCGAAAATTAAATTTTTGTGTATTATTATAGCTGATACCGTGTATTTGTGCATTGCCTTTATAGATTAATTTCTCACTAATAACTTCTTACATAAAACTTTACTAACCTTTTTTCTGATTTTGTGCATTGCCTTTATAGATTAATTTCTAACTAATAACTTTTTACATAAAACTTTTCTAACTTTTTTCTAATTTTTATGAAATAAACACATTTAAAAGGGATGCCCATATTTGATTATTTCTTTTCATTTTATTGTGTAAAACAGAGTCACAATGCTTTTAATTATTAGATTAATGAAAATACTACCTATTGATCTAATTTTCTCAAATCGGTTTCATTTCATTCAAAACGTTCTCATCATGAACTGTTCTTGAAGAACTCCTAAAATTTGTTCACGATCAAACTTTACAGCTAGTGGCTCAATTTTTGACTTTTTAATTTTAATTTCATTGACTTTGTTAAAGGGAAGGCACACTCACTTATCTGAAAACAAAAGTGTTGCAATGTAATTGATTTTGAGTTTCGAAGGTCTAAGTTATAGATTTTACAGCGGAATAAAAATTTATTATTGATCCCTTTTTTTCAATTTTGGTTAACTTTATCACAAAAGTCTCAGTCATAAATTGTAATTGAACTCCAAAAAACTGTAGTGTTATACAAAGTTTTGAAATTATTTGCCCTCACATCTCTTCGAATTTGCACAGAAATTCGAAAGTTTTTTTTTCAAAATACAAGTTTTGTTTCCCTGCGTTCATTGACGCTTTTCCAGCTGTTCAACTGTTTTCAGTACTGCAAGCATTATTTATTTTTCCTATACTTTTTTGTTGAATAAATTAACTGATCATCTTGCTTGAAGCAAAAAAGTAATTTAGACACTGAAATTCAGTTTTTTACTTCGTTCTCTTTAACGTGGTTGAACTTTGGCTTCAGTTTACTGTATATGCAGTGTGTTCTGTCGGGTCTTTTGTCGCATCTGAACTTGAATATCTCCAGTCGGTTGATCACCCTTCGATTGTCGCTTCTGAACAGGGGGTCGATGCTCTTCAGACACTCTGCTGTACAGTCCACGCCCTAAGTTTCATAACTAAAGAGGCCAGAAATTGATTCTTATAGCAGTTTTTCTATTCACAATTTCAAGAACGTTTTTGGTTCATTGTTTTTTTGTTTTGGACCGGAAATCTTGATTAACCCTCAAGAAATGACTAGTGATCGAATATACCTCCTTGTTTAATCGACTTGGCTATTCATTTTTTGTCCCAATAGGCGGAGAAAATAGTCATATCACATCCGGTCGCCACTGTTAGTTTAGTTAAAACTAAACTGCTTTCTTCAAACCGGTTTTTCTCGACACTGGGAAAACAGTTAGGTTATTTTAAAATATAGTTCAAAAATTCCGATAAATATTTGTGCGAACAGATTTTGCGTGGAAAAAACTGACTGCGCGGAACAAAAATAAAAGGATCTGAAAGCTCGATAATATCGAAAAATCCACTCTAGCTCAAAAAAGTTAATGGACGCATTAACGTCAAATACGTCACCTCTGTCTCTGCCTTGTACGTAGTCAGTTTTGCCACAGATGCATCAAATGTCTCGTCTAGCTCTTTGTCATTCTGACTTTTGTATGACTCGGCTAGCTTCAGCTCGGCCTTCTCTGATCGTGCTCGGATCATTGCGTCGGCTCTCGTCTCGAGCTTGCTGTCGTCTACCATTCGTTTCAGCATGTAAGATTGACAAGCTCGGTCCATGAACGCAGCCATGTCGTAAAATTGTTAAATCTTTCTTGCTAATGTTCCTATTCAGTTTAATATGTATGCGTTTTATTGCGTTTAGACTGTTTCTTACGGCAGGTGATGTTACGGTAAGCATCACACTTAATTTTTCACTCAATTACATCTATGTTTGCTGTGCTTCCTAAATAAGGAATACTTCCAACGAAGGTGAAATCGTTGATCTAGTAGTTGGTGACTATACCAAGCCGAAGCTATATGCCCTTTCATACGGTGACATCAACCCGTGATTAAAAGACAACAGTCGCGCCATAGGACTTCATACGAAATTTAGAGCCAGTTAAATCGTCTCCCTAGCGCTAGTGACTTTTGTATTACCAATTAACTCATCAATGTTTTTTGGGCCGACTGAAATAGTTATTCTACACAAATTTGAGTATTTCGTCTTCTGACTAATACAAATAAACATTTGTTTTTAAAATTAAAAAGAAATTTAATTCAATAAATTAACTGAAACATTCAGTTTATTAAAAGAAAACAAATAACAAGCCATGGAAAAAATTGCATCATAAGGAAATCAGATGAGCGATAGTTTATTTTGACATAAAATACAGTTGTCAAATGTTGTTGAAAACGTTTTATAAATACAGCAATGATCCAAAAAAGTAAGTAGATTTCTCGTGAATTTGATAAGATCAATAAGAGGATGGTCCTATTCTGATTTTACCAGTCGTCATTGTCGCCCATAGAAGTACCGGCCCTGCTCGTGCTGCTCATGGCTCGACTTCCTCCCCCTCCTCCTGCCACTGCCCCTCCCCCCGTAGAACCAATACTCGATCCCGATTTGATAAATATATACTCTTCCAAGAACTTGTCTCCGAAGCAGCAGTTGAGCACCCACCCCTTCTTGGCCATCCACTCAAACAACTGCACTTTGTTCACGCCTCCGAACGAATTCGAGCCTTTATACCTGAACACTCGGTCGAAGCCTGCGTTGAATAAATACTGGACTTTTAAAAAACAAGAAATAAAATCCAAGTCTACTTTGGCTAGTTTGAAACGACTCAGTGAGTTTGAGATCACAAAAAAATTGAAAAGATAAACATTATCTAAAACTTATAATTCCATTATTTTCCTGCATCTCCGGATTATCTTCCTTCTTCTCTGTTAAAATTATGAAAACTGGAGTTAGACTAGCCTGGTATATCTGTGGCCAGCTTAAACTGGAATGGACCCATGAGTAGGTTCTCCACATCGTCCAGGAACTCCTCCTTGTACTTGATAGTGAGAGCCAGCGCCAACATGCAGTCTGTCCTGTAGTGCTTCATCAACAAGTACCTCTGCTTCGATCCAGAAATACCCCGAGACGATTCCATTCACAGAGAAAATCCTTTCTTATATGGATTACTTTAAAATGTTTTGACAAAGATTTGCAACCAGTAAACTTTGGGCTGAAGTACACTTATCAGCGTTTTTTTAAGAAACTTAGTTTTTAATGTAACGTGAAAAATTAAGTTGATTTAATCTATTGCTGAAAAAGAAGAATCGCTGAGCAATATTGGAAGCAGAAACAGACTCCTGCTTATACGATAAAAAATGAATCGAATTATTCTTTGCACCTGTATCACTTTGCGCAGGAAGCTTTGGTTGCATAAATTTTTAATTAGCAGTTTTCAGTTGTTAGTGGCGTTTTTTCTGGCCCGAATTTCTTACGTTGGATTTTTGATCGTAATAGATTCTTTTTTCTTGTGGTTTGTATCCACAGACCCGCATTCCCGGATAGCCGAAAATAAGGCTAACAATGATTTGACACGAACAATGATGTATATGACCATATGCCCACGTGTAATGTATTGAATTTACGACTCCTTGACGCTCAAATTTTGATCAGGCTCATGGCCTTTGTTAATTTCAAGAAAATTTCGGCTATGAGGGAACAATTTTTTTTGTTTCGGCTCTTCGAGATTGCGGCCATGTGGCACGCGGCTGTTCGCAACCACACGGAGCGTGAGCAGAAACGTGGAGCCAGCTGTAGTTTTCTTCCAATTTGTGTACACTTCAGCAAAACTTTCGATAGTTTGAGAGAGGCACCCGCATCCAAGTTTAGGCGTAAATAATCGATTATAACGGATTATTATGATGATTTTTGACAATTATAATTGATTATAATTACCAAAATTAGGTCTTTAAGGGATTTATAATTGATTATAATCGTGCTATTTTCCAAGAGATTATAATTTCTTATAATCGATTATAGTTGATTATAATTGATTATAGTTCTACTAAAAACCCTTAAAATCAATTATAATCGATTATAATCGATTATAATCTCTTATTTTGCCGAAATTTTCCTATATTCGAATTATATCTTATGGGTTATTTTTTTGTATCAAATAAGAAAATCTCTAAAAGAGTGATCTTTTGAACACTTTGGTTCATCTGAACACAAAGTCTTACCACGAAACAAAAGTTTCATAGAGAACCTTTCATATGAGTGGAAAGGTTCTCGCGGTAGATCAAAAATAATTTTCCGAATCAATCATGAAACTAAATCAATTTTCTGATGTCTTGGTGTTTAAAAAAGCTTAAAAGATGCATCGCAAAACAACTCTAATCAATTATAATCAACTATCAATTATAATAATGGGGAAGAAATGAAAAAAACTTATTAATTTGAATTAATTGGAAATCTTTTAAAATATTTTTCCCATTTTTCATAGGATCCAACGTGCACAAAAAGCATAAAATATAAGCAATTTAGATGCAACTTCGAAGACAAAAATGGACAAACAAAAGGGATTATAATCAATTATAATCGTTTATAATGGATTTTTGTGCAAAACTAATAAAAAAGAAATTTGAATTAAAAAAATGGATTATAATCAATTATAATCGATTATAATTGTATCGAAAAATAGACGATTGTTTCTCAATTTTAGTGAGACTGGTACTAATATCGTAAAATAATCGATTATTAACGCTTAAAACTGGGTGCGGGCATCATTTTATATGCTTTTTTCATTCGTGGTTTGGATTTTAAAAAAACTTGACAGAAATTAAGCTATATTCAGTAAGCATTAAGACATTAAGCATTAGGCTTGCTTGCAATATTCAGTCAGCATTATGTCAGCTGAGTTTTGCACAAAAACTGAGCTAAAATTAGCAGAACATGAATTGTAGCAGTAAATTTTTTCGAGCAGCTAAATTATAAGGCGCATGACAACGAGACGAGTCTGATCGAGCAACACAAAAAATTTGCAGGCATTTTGGCGGTAAAACCTTGCTTGACCTCAAACGAACGAAGGTAAGGTATAGTCATTCATCGTTCGGCTTATAATTTTCTTCTGATTGGGTGCTTTGCTTCTGCTTTGTCACGTTTCATGTCTCTAATAATTGCCTAATAAGTTCACTGTCTAGATCAGACCCGTCTCCTTGTTGTTCACCAAATATATAATTTTAAAAATCTGTTTTTTTTTGAAAATTAATATTCATGAAGGAGAAAACTCTTTCCGATGCATCTCCGATTAAAAAATTTCACAAATGTTTAATAATTATTTCAATTTTGTCTACTGTAAATTAAATTGCCGGAAACTGTTTGCTTAATCTTTGAGATCTTTTTGAGATATCCCTGACCGATTTTGCAAATGAGCAGAAGCGGGTCTAGAATTTTCTCGAATGGGGGTGAATTTTCCAAAAAAAATTTCGACCTTTTATTTAAATTTTTGGTCGACCAAATTGATTTTCCGAGAGCTCTCAGAACACTATAGAAACTTAATCTTGACAAAAAACGGCGCCGCAATTAGGTCAAAAATGCCATTTTTGTGCGCTTTGCAACATTATGACCAGAAAACTGCGTTTTTTGGCGCGCACTCCCCTTAAAAATTAGTATATATTGGCGGCCAAGGAGCCCATAGAAAGTTGCAGGGTTGGTCAGCCCAAAATGGATGTCTGAAAAAAAATACCAAATGGAGGACCCTTTGGTTGGAGAGGGGGTTGAATCTCTATGGAGGGAGCCGCCCCTCCCTAAATCCGCTGCTGTAAAAAGGCAACAGAAATTTCAACCCCAAAGTTAAATCACGCGGTTTCAAAAAATTATTTGAGATTTTGAGCTCGTTTGTTTTATTTTACTTTGAAATTGCACCCAATTTAATTAAATATTGCATGCTACCAAGCACATATGTTAAACGCTGGCTAAAAAATTTAATTAAAACAAAACTTAATCAAATTTTTTTGCAGCTGTAAAGGTTTGTAAATTGATTTATGATACTGTTCTACCAATTTAATATTGGGCGCCTATACGTACTAGTTTTGAGGGGAAAAATTGCCAAAAATTATAATTTTTTGGTCAAACGGTTCCAAAAAGTTCAAAAACTACTGCGTAAAAGTTTTCTCAAGACAGGTGTTTTGAGTGTTCGGAAAACCAATTTCGTCGACCTAAAAAAGGACTAACAAGCTTCTCAATTTTTTAATCCTTCCTGTTTGATCCGCGCATGTCCTAAATCTGCTAGAAAAGAAGCACTGTTATGTGATGTTTTCAAAACAAACATCAGTTTTGAAAGCAAACAACAATATAATTTTGTTCGGTTTTAAAAAATGAAACTTACAGGACTTGTCGCAATAACAAGAATTAACTTTTTAGTGGATCTAAAAGACCTCGAAATGATTTTGTTTCACATTAATATTTCAAAAGAAATTGCAATGACTTTATAAAGTAACTCAAATTCAAAATTGCAAACTTCTTTTGGCAAGCAAGTTTTATTTTCAAAAAGAATTATTAAGTAAAAACGATAACTTTTGTTTTGGTTAGTAAAGTTTTTTTTAAGCGTGAGGAGATTGAATGTTTTTAATGAGCCATGAAAGTTATTTAAAAATGATAAAATTTTGAAAAACCCCAGAAAAAATACATAAGAAACTTTCGATAAAATGAATACTTAGTCTGAAAAATTAAAAAAACGAACCGTTCTTCACAACACTGAAATAATTTTTATTAAATATAATTTTACGCAGCGATTAGGCATTTTTATTTGGTCTAACAACTTGTGTAACAAAATCAATTGCATAATTCGGTATCTTGAGTCATAGCGAATTCCTATTTTTTGGCGTCCCAAGCGTGTTCATTACCTAAATGTCTCACTAAATTTGCATGAGACGCAAAGGTCATGGGTTCGAATTTACTAACCTAGACTTCGTGTATTTGCCTTTTGTTTTTTTCTGGCAAAAATAGTTTTAGCTCAAATGTTTCTGGCTTAAAAAAAGAAGTTCGGGGGTTCCATGGGAAGCATAATTTTTAATTAAAAAAAGCTAATAAAACGTACAATAAAAATTATACTTCAAAGTTTTTCACGAAAGCATTTTTATTTTGGGTCTACGAAAGTTTACCTCAGCTACCAGCCAATTATTGCTTGATATTTCTTTAAACGCAGTCAATTAGGTTTCTGCACGTGTTTTTTGCAAACAGACCATCATTCAAGAAAATAATTCGAATTTTTTAAACTCGTTTAATAGTTTTTTATAGACTTTACGACTGTTTTCCCTTGCAATGTTTTTCTAGGTTTTTTTTAAATTAAAAAACACCAATTCGATGTTTTTTAAAGTATTTTTTCTTGGACTGAATGATCGTTTTACAATGCGTTTTTACACTGATGCCGGCGATTAGCATGCGTTATTCAACCTGAATATAGACTTTTTTCGGGTAAACAACTTGTTTTAACAGAGTCACTTAAATTAGTTGGTGCGTTGGTTCAAAATTAATTCAATTTTCTAAGCGTTTCTGGTTTACTTAGTCTGGAGATAACAAAAACGCCTGGGACAGCAAAGGTCCTGGGTTCGAATCTGAGCAGGGCCTGTTTTTTTTCAAACAGAAAATATTCCGTTTCAAAAAACTGTCTGCTTATTAATTGTCTGCTTATATTTTTGTCTGCGTTGTTGCACCACCTCAATTTTTTTTGCTGAATGCTGTTTTATTTTAATTGTTTTTCATTTTTCATTTACTCTAGAAAGATGTAATTCTATTAAGATTGATATCTTCTTTCAAGTCAGTTGTACGTTTACTTATCGGTTTGTTCAAGTTTATTTTTTTTTCGTTATAGAAAATTATTTCCTAATTTATTTGAAAAATTTTAGTTTTTTGCAGAAACTTTCATTGGTCTTCAAAAGAGGGTCTCAATTAAAAAACGCCTACTCCCCTGAGCGCCTACAAACTCCTCCATAGTATCTTTTATGTGAAATCTCTGTCTACAGCCTTCGAACAAGTCTGTGGGGAACTATTTTACCAACATTTTTTTTTCGTTTACTCAAAAGCTATTACTCTGAAATCTGAGTTTTGGGTTTCAATAAATAGAACGCTTTTAAAAATTCCCTGTAAGAGTCTACGCCCAAAATTTTTACGCATAAGTTTATTGCCCTCAGAATAGTCAAAATTTGATTTTTGACCATTTTGTGAAGGTTTTTACCTGTTCTCAAAAATCAACCTCCTAAATCTGACATTGTGGGTTCCATTGAGATAACGGGTAGTAAAAGAAGCTCCACTGATCCCCAAAGTTTCTTACGCAAACAGTTATCGCCCTCGGAAAGGGCAATTTTTTGATTTTCTGACCGTTTTT